CTTTTAATGTTATCAACCATAAAAAAGGTTGGAAACTCATGCGATATGGTTCATATAAAAACATACAACAAGAACGAAAAAAACAGATACAAGTTCTTTTTGTTATTATGGATGGATGGATATATGAATGGATGGTTGGATGAATGAATGAATGATTTAATTATTTAATTAATAAGTAAATGAAGGAATGAATGGATGGATGAATGGTTTTAGATTACCTTGCATGATTGTAAGGACGCGTCGGCGATTTTAGCTAGAAGCTTTAAAAGATGCATACAGATTTATTATCGAAAGGTTTAAAACCCTTATTTGAAAATCTACCTTCTAGAGAAAACTGGAAGAATGGATTTCCACTTCGGGGCAAAGTGTAGTTCACTGACTGCTTTAAGATAGAAAAGGGCTCAATAGAAAATCAGATCTGCAGCTAGAGAGATCAGATAGACAATTAGACGAATAAGCGATAGAATGATAGATAAGTAGTTTAACATATAAAATAGAAACCAAAGCATATAGCAAAATGGACAAATAAATACGCAGAAAGGTAGATAATCAGATACAAAATAAACAGAAAAATCGATCATCCATCCATTCATTCCTTCATTCACTTATTAATTAAATCATTTATTCATTCATTCATTCATTCATCCAACCAACCATCCATCCATATATCCATCCATCCATAATAACAAAAAGAACTTGTATCTGTTTTTTTCGTTCTTGTTGTATGTTTTTATATGAATAACGCCTAAAGCTGTATGCATCTTTTAAAGCTTCTAGCTAAAATCACCGTGGCGTCCTTACAATCATGCAAGGTAATCTAAAACCATTCATCCATTCATTCATCCATCCATCCATTCATTCCTTCAACCAATTTGATCGGGAACCAATTTCTGTACATTTTGTGCGAGGTCCTTTGGGCAGAATAAGTGACACGTTCAGTAAGTCAACGTGAATTTGTTGAGTTTTTCTAAGAGAGGATCGTTAAATTATGGATGAACTTAATCTCCTCTTTGATACAATTGCAGTTATGATTAATAGTAGGACCAGTTGTGCCAAAATATGCAGTATTCACTTCATGGATTCTTTCAAACTGTGCACTCGTCCTTCAATAACTAAAATATTCACCCACCATCGATAATCTTTGTTCTCACCTTCGGATTTATGATCAACTTAATTGATAGGGTCTTAAATAGTTTTCTCTAATGGAAAAATAAATTAACGTTATTTTCTGCAAAATACATTTTTAACAAAATTACGGAATGTTGAGCGCCAGACTCACCGATGAATCAATGTCAGCATCAACAGCAATATTTCCCAATAAGTCTTAATAAAAACGAAGCTCTTCATTCTTAATCTCTTTAACAAACTATAAAAAAATAAATTAAAACGAAATAATTATCATAACTTGCCGAAAAACTCGACTAGCTCATGGATGTTTCTATCAAAAGTGGTTCGGGTTGAGAGCATTTTCACAAAATTACACAATGACAAAAAGTAAAAACAGTATGATATATAAAAAAATAACAATGTATTGTAGTAAAATTTAAATGTTTAATAATACATCATTTTTCTCTAAGCGACGTTATCAATAATAAAGCATTATTAAAATTAATCTCAATCAAACATATTAATCTCGGTAAATTTTCTTATTTAACATGATTTTTAATAAAATTAATTATGACTGACGATACGAGAAAATTGCTTTTAACTTTCAATTTCTATGCCGTAAATTCTTCAAATCTTTGATTATTTGAATTTTTATGAAATTTATAAATTAAAAATTCTTAACAAATAGAATTTATTGAAATAAAAAATTAGAATTTCATTAATTTAATTATCGCCTAATTACTCAGAAAACGGTACGCTACTCAATCTCGACATATTTTATTATTTCAATATGTTAACGCTACGATAAATCATGTTTCATAGAATATAAAAACAAAATTTAATTTCACTATATTATTCTACAACGATTGGATAATTTTTAACCATATATGGACACCTTAGAAAAAAAATAAAAAATATTAAACATTATTCAATTTTTGTGTCAATGAATATATTAAGGTTTTTGGGGTCATTGAATCCGAATTGGAGGTCAGATTTAAAAAATGAGAAATGGCGGACACAATATGGCGGCCAAAAATTTACCAAGTTTACTCGAAAATTGTCCCTTGGGGGTTTTTGGAGTCACTGAATCCACATTTGAGGTCAGATTTAAGCAATTAAAAATTTGGATTCATAGACCCTAAAAAACCCCGAATAACGATTTTTGAACGTATTAAATCTATTTTTAAATGTTCCACTATATTGTGTCCGCCATTTTGATTTTTAAAATCTGACCTCAAATTCGGATTCAGTGACCCCAAAAATAACCAAGGGACAATTTTCAAGTAAATATAGAAATTTTTAAATATTTTTGTCCGCCATATTGTGTCCGCCATTTTTAATTTTTTAAATCTGACCTCAAATTCGAATTAAATGACCCCAAAAACCTTAATATACTCATTGAAACAAAAGTTGAATTATGTTTAATATTTTCTATTTTTTTTAGAAGGTGGCCAAATATGGTCAAAGTGTATGTTAACATTACTAAAAGTGTTAACTTCAATATGTCCTAACTTATTAAAAAAATTTTGTAAAATAATTTTGAAAAATGACTTTTAAAGCTAAAGAGTAGTACTATAAGATCCTTTTGTCGAAAATTAAAAAAAATTCTATTCATAAAAATTTATCAAAAAAGGCTAAAATAGCCCTTTTTGATCCTTTAAGCTTCATTTACTAAAAATCCTGAAACAATTAATTTTTATTAAACAATATTTTGTGGTTAACTTACTCACCCCTAGGGCAAAACTATTTGCAAATTACAGCCCGATCCGATCAACTTTCTTTTTCACTTAGTTCGCTACAGGAATTTTATCCTATATATATATTAAATTAAGAAGATTCTTCGATTGGACTGAAACTTGCAAACAGTTTTGCATTACGGGTAAGTACTAGAGGTATACATTTTTTTAAAATTCGACTCTCTCCAGGAGAATTAACGTGGATTCATTTGTATGAATTTGAATTTCGAGTCCATATTTGGAATAATAAATATATACACTGACAGGAAATTAAAAAATGTAACAGAAGTAACGGAGACGACAGTACTTAAAATTATAACATATCACTTGCACTTAATATTATTTGAAATAAAAATTAAATTTCAGTAAAAGTGAAAACGAAAGTAAAAACGAAAGTGAGAATGAAAGTGATTATGAAAGTCAATGACGATGTGGATGTCAAAATGAAATTACATAATTGCACCCCAGAAGATGCAAAAATTCTGTTTTACATATAGAAATTAAGTAAATTCCCATAGAAATCAATTTCTCAAAAACCACCCCCCAACATGTTTGTAAAAAGAGAACACGAACTAACTTTTAGGTCAGACTACGTTTTTCTCTTTAGATACATCTTAAGGAAGAGAATTTACCATAAGGCAGTCCTGGCAATTAAAATTTTTTTTCTTTTGTGTGCCTGTGTTATTAATAACTCATAACATAAATTAAACTATTAAATTTACCCTGCGTAGGTATCAAATAAATTAGAAAAAGATCGTGATACACTTTGCACACATACGCACATAAAAACATCAAAACAAATTACAATTATTAGAATAATATCAAAGAAATTGTTAATACATATGTGACGCTCCTCGAGAAAAGGGACTATTAGTTACCGGGATTGGTTCCCGTTTTCGGACAAAGGCAAAGATAAAAGTCGAAGTCAAAAATGTTAATAATTATTTATTTTTGTGGAACAAGAACACGGAACACAATTTCAATATCGCGGACAAAAGACACGGAACACAAGTTTCGACTAACTTTAACGACCTGTTGGAGCGTCTCGTTCCGAGAACTGCACTCCGCCACAGCCGAAATTAAAGTGAGTGCGTCGGTGACGTATTCTTTGAAGCGTCCCGTACTGGGAACCCAACTTCTTCACGTCCCAAAATTCAGGTAGTCCCAAACTGGGAAAACCCCAATTTTTCCTCGTGCCTTTCCATGCTGTGGGATCTCCTTTTCTTCAATCCCTTCAGGTAGAAAGTCCAGCTGTGACCGTTGTGGCTTTTTCTTCAGGTAACAGTCTGAAAAATAGTAATAAAACAACCTACCACCGAACAAACAAAAACCCAACACAAATCTAAATCAACTAAATAATTAATAAAGTTAAATTACGGATAACTTAAACCAAAGACACTTTAAAACTCCCTTTGATTCCGTCACTTCTGTTTCCTGTTTTCAACAGGGACTTATCGAGACAAAAAATTAATTTCCAGTTTTACATGCGAATCGATAGTATTTGAGTTGCTCTTTCATCTAGAAATGTCAAAAAAATATTTTTCTAATTACTTTTTTTGGAATAAACTTTAAACATGACCATGTCAATCGCGTTCCAGCACGGACTACGGAAACCATCCCCACCACCACTACTACTAGTATACTTGTTGTATCCTTGAGACGTAGGAACGATGTAGTAGTAAGGTAGTGGGGCTGATTTTCGCTGGCACGTCTCAGCGAATCAGAACGTTCGACTTTAAACGCCTTTACTGTATAATTCTGTTTTGTCGCTATAGGTCCCTTTTCTCGTAGAGCGTCACATATATGTGCGATCCTTTCTTTTGCACTCGTAAAAATTAATTAAAAAGAGGAAACAATTCTACGTTTCCATGTCCTCGGCCGGCACGTGAGAGCACTGCCGCTGGTCGAATCGCTGACGAGATGCGAAGATCGAATGAGTAATCAATCGCAAATTGTATTTCACTGTCTCGTCCTCTAGATCATTATACGTAGTACCGCGGTACTGATTGTTCCGCCACAGAATTTTAAAACCAAGAGTTTTTTGACGCCACCATCAGGTGTCTCTATGTTGTTTCCTTCCATCACGCCATTACGTTGTTCTGTGCGTTCTGCTACACATCGTATTGTCGCGAAAAAGAAAAAAAACAAAGTTAAAAAATGGATTTATCATCATCGAACTCTACATCATCCGAAGGAGATCGACGTCGTAATAAGAAGAGGAAAAAGTCTGCAACGAAAAAACTTCGACGGGAAGTTAAAAAACTGAAAAAAGATCTGGCAAAAATGAAGCGTCATCGTTCGCGTGCACCGTCGAGATCGCGCAAGTGAAATAGCTCTTCTACATCGTATGACTCCGAAGTGAGTATCCAGAAGCCAAGACCTCTATTGTTGAGCGTACCCCGAAAGGATCGTCGCACGACAAGGCGTGGCATCATCGGGAGCGTGAGTATAGGGACCGAGAGTCCAGATCTCCCAAAAGGTACAGCTACGAGCGTTATCCGCGAGAAACGCCTAGCATTGACCGGAGCAGAAGGGACGACAGTGAGCGCAGTCGGAGAGGCTCGCCACGATCTCCCCGACGACGCTCTAGATCTAGAAACCGCCGTTCAATAGAAAGGCAAAATGGAGGCAATCGAAACGGTGCCGTTGATCCTGTGAACAAAAATGCAGCTAACGCAACACAGTCGATAACTGAAGAGCAGAAGTTGCTCAATCTATTAGGAGATGGCCCTCCTCCTGAATGTTCGTACAGTGCTACCATCCATGGATCAATTGCCGAGTTATGGACCAAAATACTCCAAGCAGGTGTGTCAAAAGAGACTTTATAATATAATGGCGTGATGGAAGGAAACAACATAGAGACACCTGATGGTGGCGCCAAAAAACTCTTGGTTTTAAAATTCTGTGGCGGAACAATCAGTACCGCGGTACTACGTATAATGATCTAGAGGGCACTTAAGGTAATTTCGTTCAATCCTGTAATTTTCTCGAATAACGACTAATATCCTAATAGAAAAACTGTCTTTTTTTAATATAAGAAAATTTTTTTAATTAATTTAATATAAAAAATGGACAGATAAAGTATTGATTATATATATATACACACTACTTTATATTACTTCTTAATGAGAGAAGTAGAACTGTACATAATTTTTAGTAGCTTTTGATATAATACATACGCGTGTAGGGGTGTGTCAGTAATTGAATGTCGTTAAATGTCGATTATTGGCTTGAACCAATCAAATCCTTTGGACGACTCAGTCGACAATGTGGCTTCGAAAATTCTCTCTGATTCGAAACGATTGATGAGCAAACGTGTCCTCTATTTATGTATGTACATGGTTAACACTACGTGATTTTCATTTGCTCGTGTACTAGCTCTAATGCCATAACAGCAAAGGCAACGTTTGCTTTTCGTTAATAATTTATTTTTGTTACAATTCTAGTACAATTTAAAAACTCAAAAATTAACAATAAAATATATTTTAAAATTTAAAATTGAATGCGATTATAATAATTGTAGGAGAAGGTGAGGGAATTTGAGCCCCTTAAAGAAAATGATTTAAAAAACCAACTTATTGTTATAATAAAATATTGTTTTGGTCATTTTTTACTCCTTTTGTTATTGTAATACATAAATTTTTAGAACTTGATTTTTTGATGTATCTTTACGTTTTTCGACCTCAAAAATCCAAAAATCATATTTTTAAAAAATGTCATTTCGTGTGTGTGTATATATACACTACATTTTCTTAAATATCTCGAATACTATAAGAGCTAAAGGGATAAATTTTTTTTAAATTGTGGGTCTCAATGGCATCTTTTGAGACGTTAGCGAACATTCTACTGATATTTTATTCAAAGTTATTGAATGTTTAAAAATTAAAGAAAAACGTTTTTTGCCCATTACTTAAAAAAATGTATTGACACCAATAAATATTTATCTCCAGTTTTGTAGAGTTTTTCAAGCCTTTTGCCTTATTTATTAAAAAATATGAATTTTTGAAGAAAATAAAGAACAAAAAAGTAAGTTTGCAAAAAAAAATTTTTAAAAATGCATTTTCTTCCATTACCCCACCTGTGCGGTATTGGGAGATCTTACTTGAAATTCCAAAAAAATGATATAATTTATATTTTCTTTGGATATTTTTCTTATTTTGTCAATAGTTATCGACAGATAAACATTTTACCAAATATTTAAGATATAAAAAAGACCTACAGATTCTTTAATCTTAAAATATCCAATAATAACACATTCTAGACAATAAAACACAAATATTGATTCGTAGCAATTAAGTATGAATCTTGTTCAATTTTCAAAAAAACAAGAAAAGCCATATCGAGGTAACGAAACTCTGCTGGCTGAAATAATTCTCTTATTACCCCAAAGAATTTTCACAGTCCACAATTTGAAAAAAAAAGAAAAACATAAACAAATTTAATTATTACCTCTATTTTTATTTATGTATCTAAATCTACATACATTTATTTCTAATAAAATCACAAAATATAATTAAATAATAAATTTTTAACTATTTACTTTGATCTCCAGAAATATTTTCCATTTAAGAAGAAAAACTCGAAAACTTGATTTTTCTTGTAGTTTCTACAAATCTGTCAGAAATGTGACCGTTTGTCTGTTCGTATGACATATATTGAACATGAATTTGAAAAAAAGTTAAAAATATTAAATATTTTTAAAGTTATATTCTGTCAAAGTGATGTCCTTTTAAAAAACATGATTTGCGGTGAACACGACTATGGAAATCTGGCTCATGTGAAATAAAAAATTCAAATGGATTTACATTTATTTAACGATTATTTAGTCCTTGACGGAGCGATTTAAAAAAACTTTTTGACAAAATGGCGACCTGTCAAAGTTTAACTTTCGATTTTCCTCAAAAAATCGGTCGTTTTTCAGATATAAAAAGAAAAGTTTTGTGTTATGTCATATTTTAAATAATTTTTAATTTTACCTAAGCAGAACTTAGAATTGTTCCTTATTCTAATTCCTCAATTTAACTTAGCTAAATTAACTAAGTTGGGAAGAGGTTTATTAAATGAATGATTTAAAAAAATACAATATGCAAATTATTTATTTAAAAATGCTGAATGTTCTCAATTATTATTATTACAAGACAATCAAACAATTATTAAATCTATTTAATAAGATTTGGTAAAACTACCTTATTTTATGTTGCGGTGGAGTTTCCAAATTTTCTTCGTGAGTTTTGATGATTCGGTATTCTATTGATTTTTTACGACCGCTCGTAAAAGTTCTTTATTGATGGGTGTCACTGTTGAAACATAGATTTTTAACTTCCGTATATATTAGAACTGTATTTTAACACATAAACTCCGTACGTATAATTTTTGGGACTGCCTTCGTAGTGAAAGGTTTCCCTTTATATATTAATATTTTCCAATGTATTTCTCGCGGCGGTACTAGCTCGCCTTTTTGGGTTAGATTCAAAATCGGTACCTCACAGACACGAAAAGTGTTTATTGCTTTTTTCTATGTGTTGGTGACTCTATATGTTGATTTCCTTGTTTGTAGATTGTCTTTCATAATTCCAAATATCAAGAACATTACAATTTTAAGAAATATTATAATTTTATATATTGATTATTTTTAATATATTTTAACATTCATTATGATTATTTCGTTATTAACATTATTATTTATTTATACATTTAATATTTATAAACAATTGATTTACTCTCAAATATTCGTTTTATTCACAAATACCTGTCTACTCATAAGCAATCATTTATTCATAAATATATTTGTTTATTTGTAAATAATTATCGATTTATAAATATATTTGTTTATTTATAAACAATTGTTTATTCACAAATATTTGTTTACAAATATTTGTTTATTTAAAAACAATTATTTATTTACAAATATATTTATTAATTTAAAAAATTAATTTTACATAAACATTTATTTATTTAATTTATTTATTGACAATAATTATTAATAATAATTATTATTTTTCCATAGCAAAAATGTTACGAAGACGTGACATTTGCATAAAAAAATTAATCCTTCGATCAAGGACTAGATTATTATGTATCGAAAAGCATGTTAAATTTAATGACAATCGGTTCAGTAGTTTTCAAGTGATAGTGATCACCGACTTCAAAAATGTAGTTTTGAGAAAAACGTGTTTGAAGTTTTAACTTCCTTTTAATGAAGGTTGAATTTTTTTTTGAAATCAGATAGAATCATCAATTTTTTGACCATATAATAATTCTTCTGCAGATGAAGCTGCTTCCAAAATCCCAATTTAAATATAAATGTATTGTTGATTGATCAATTGCTGACTCGAATTTTTTTCGTTAATTCGAAGAATTGGTTTAGGATTGATTTTAGGCTGAGGTTGTCATCATATTAAATAAACAGTTATCTTCATATTTAATATAAAATTAATTATATTTAATTATAAAGAACATAACTTGTGAACCGATACATTTGTGAGTGATAGAATGATCTGTACTAATTGTTTTGGAAATTGAAAATTATCTGAATTGGAAGGGAGAGGATGTCACTGGACATGGAAGGGATATTTTCAAAAGGCGTAGGCGTGGTTAAAATTTACGGGTTACGGAATATAGACGGAAGAAGTAAGTATGGAATGCTATTATCAAGGGTCAAATATATATGCTTGTGGGATTAGGATCAGGGCTGGATATGGTTCTAATAGCATCGATAAGTAATTTGTTTTATAGTCGTATAAACTGTACCTAAGAAGATGTCGGACATACCTATTTGTAAAAAAAATAAACAGCAATAAAGCGATAAAAAGATCATCCTAAAGGACTCAAAATTGTCACGCTTAGAGAAAATAAACGGAATAATAAAATTGAAAACTTGGGACTCAACAGATATAAAGACCCACACGGCAGTTAGCCTGTTCTCAACCGACCTGGCGCGTCTCCCTTTCAACCTGTATATCTCATTCAATTTTTACCGGATCATCATAAAAATTTGTAGACATATTTCTAAAAACATATCCTTTAAGAAAATGCAAAAAAAAGAACTATAGATTCACTATTGGCCTATTTTCTGGATAAAATCTTAAAATATATTAAAAAAATATCAAAGTTGTTGCATTAAAGTTTTTGACTCATCGTTAATTCCACGCCGATCTCTTAAAGAACCTCGGCTTGATATCACAGGATTTGACAAAATTTAATTTGATTTATTAATTCAATTTTTCAATTGTCACTCACATTCTCTGTGCAAAGCAAAAAGAGAATGATCGTATCCAGGAAGATGTCTACCAAAAGACTTCGCTTATTAGTGACCTCTCCTCCAGTTGAGCATCATGAATTAAAAATAAAATTTTTATTAATTACATCGATAAATTATTCGATTGTCGGAAACATTCTCTTACGACAATAGTAAGTTTAGTTTTTAGGTGAGCGTAGCGCTATAGTATACCACCAACGCGCCGTCTATAATGAATATGGCTGCCCTATTATTGCTTCGACACGACAAAGACAGTATTAGTCTTCGTCTCCCTAGCACTCTTGAATAATCGGGAATCACTTCCAATTATATGTGCCAGAAAGCTCTTCCCTTGAGGACTTGGGTCATTCATCTGTCTTTGATATTTTATTTCGTCTCAATTGATCCAGATAGTATCCGTAGTTTTAAGCAAAATGAAACAAAAGTAAACCGAGAGTTACAGAACTTTTGAATCAGAAAAATTTATTGTCGATGATATGACGAATTAGTAGATTTGACCGCAAGTTTATTAAATATTAAATAGAATCAAATAAAAGGAAGTGGATAA